ATATTAGTAATAAATAGTTAATATCATGTTAAAAAATAATTTTCAATTTCAGACGCCGTTCCATTCTCTGGTAATGGCTGCTTTTTGCTTGCGGACTTCGCCACTGCTGATGGAGGCAACTCAATGGAACTTATTAAATTCCTCATTGGTATGACCCCAGCGGTTATCTGTAGCTAATCGGACGATTGGCTCTGCATGTGTGAGATTCCAAGCCAATCGCCACATACTTTGTTATTTTCGTGAAATCATTGCGCCTACTGGCGAACTATATTCTAGAATGTGTAGACGCTCATAGACATATGTAACGGATCGCCACATGCAATGGAAGCGAATGCTTTCTAAATCACAACGGAGAGAGCAACGGCTTTAGGTAATTTTAACGAAAAGGAAAATGGAACACAATGAGTAACGATGTTCTCGTTACGCTGATCGTAATGGCAGCGATGACGTCGATGGTGACGATGCCGTTAGTTATAGAATCTTTAATACGTTCAACTTAATGATCTTACTCGTATAATAGACGCACTGAGGGAGAAGCACGGGCACAAGTTTGACATTCAAGTAATCCATGAAGATCAACCATCAAACGACTGGACATCGTTTTTCAAACGTGTGCAAGGTATATAATATCAAGATCTAATAATAAGCTATAAGAGCTAATAAGGTATTATTAGCTCTTGATAATATATATAGACATATAGTATATCCATAGGATATACGATAATTGTACGTCGTCAAAAAACGCTATAGTAATGAAAGCTGAAGGTACTTCACATAGGAGCTGGCAATGCCCCTTCTGCTGAGAATGTAAATTTATCCATTTCAGTGAAATGGTTGTTTCAAGTAAATATACTGCAGCTTTGCTATTGTACGGACACGGCACTCTACCGAAATATGCTGCTTGTGAGCGTGTTGGTGCGAGATAAGCCTACAAAAAACCTTCTCCTCTCTTTCACACGCAACATTAAGTGTAGTCTCGTGATATACGTTGTCACACAAATGTTCTTGGTTCTCTAGTTATTGGGCGATATTTCGTCGCTATAAAAAATGGCCCAACGCTGTATAAAAAGTCGAGTTAGTCTAAGTTACATCTGGGTGAGCGCCGAATAGAGGAACGTGGGGTAGCCCGCTAGGCTCCTAAAGTTTGATTGAAAATCTAGCTAGAAAAAGATATGGAAGCAGTGGCGATGTCTCGTAAAGATGGTTCTGTGTGTGAATATGCGATGAATTCACAGGTCCCACGTTGAGAAAATCCAAGAAAGGGATCACTTGTGATAATGGTCAAATTGGTTTTTAATAAAGTATACATGTAAAATAAACATAAATTATACATTTGTAGCCTTTTATTGTTCGCTGGAATCAAAGTACATCAACAACCACGGCAAATTTAGTAATTTACTGATGTCAATTTTGAAATATGGCTGGAAAATGTACGTCCGGGACTTTCTGGACTCTTAACGGGGCCCGGTGATCACCGTCTGTGGGGCGTCACAGTATAAACATTTAGGCGATTTATATACTATACATAGCTTACACGTGTTCTGTAATAGGAGGCAAGCGTGTACACCGTACACGTTCGCGCGAACGTACGCACGCGGACGCACACACACACACACACACACACACACGCACGCAAACACACGCTC